CATACTTTCATTTTTTATACTCCCAGTAGTTTCCACAGCCGTTGCTTTCTTTAGTATCCAACGATTGTTCACATCTAATTTGTGGTCCATTGTATGTCCAGGTGACAAAAGGCATCTTTTTCTTTGGTTGAGAAACGCTCGTTAAAAAATGTAGACTATTCAAAATAATAGTCCAAAAAAAAAAATAGATCTTATAAAGTTGTAGGGGAGCATCACGTGCCCTCCAAATTATCTTAAGCCCATCCAACTCTCATAAAAGTCAAATCCAAATTATCTCAATGGGTAGGGCGGCCCCATACGGAAGGCCCGCCCTTCAAAATATGGAGCCTCGATAAACAAATCAAGCTTGAGGGCGAAACAGTCTTGAGCCATATGACTGTTTTAGCCCTATATTTTTATTTATTTATTTATTTATTTTTGAATCTATCGAGCCTGACTTTGAGGTCAGGGCTTTTTAGCCAAGCTCAGGACGAATTGGGTCCTTGCTAGCCCTATTGGACTTGGGGTATGCTCAAGACCGGGCAGCTGCCGATCCTACAATTATCTATATCATTGATCCAAGCATGTTAAACAAAGGTTATAACAACACAAGGTGAAATTAAAAATGGCAAACGATTAAAAAAGATAATATGTTAATGGCATTCGACCTCCCATTACTATGGCTCGTCTAATTGTCTTGTTTTTGGAACAATATTTAAAATATGGCGATTTCTAATTTGAATAGTTGATTTGGAAGGGAATCATTTGAGACTGAACCAATTTTCGGATTCCAACAATTATTTTTAAGTTTATTTAATATTTTTTTATATCCTTTTAAAATCTCCAGCCCATAAGCTCTTATTTTTATTTATTTTTAATATTGTTTAGACTATCAACTCCAATAATTATAATTCCTAATAAAATGAACGATCTACCCCACCTATCCGAGTTTTAATACTGAAACAAATATAAGAGTGTTAATAAGTTTTCAGCCAAATTTGAGCCCATTTAAAGACAAAATAACCACGATCGAGCCGTTGATTTCCTCCCAAACATTATCTAATGGGCTAATTTTATCAAGGCCCCCGAGAGATTTCGGAAATTGTGGACTTAAAATTTTCTCAACCCCATGACTTTTCAAATAATGACCAAGTTCCACCAGCTTATCTGAGATCCCTCTGGTCAACGTTAAAGATTCACTAAGCTCGCCCTAATTGAAGTCTAAACCACCGCGTTAAGCAAACGCACCCTGGTTTCTTTTGAAATCGTCTGCTTTTTTTATTTTCATTCCGCTCCCGTTTAAACAGTTTATGTATTTCTCAGCAACTTCATCGATTCCTTGCAAAATCCTCTTTCATTTTCTTCGCGTTTTATCGATCACACATATTGTTGAAGTGCGACTTCTTTGAAGCTTGCTTTATTGTTTTCATGGTGGCGCACTGAAACCCGAGAATTTGCTCATATTCTTGTTTTTTTCTGATTCCGAGTGAAGCTTTTACTCTTTTACCGAGGTTATATTCTTTTACTTAAGTCTTGTCACTTTTTGTTGGGAATGATCTATAGCTGGTGGACGTGTCAAACCCTGTTTGTTTGCTGATGGAATCAGGAAATTAGGGTTCTAGAGAGCCAATTCTGCTTACAGTTTCAAAACACCCATTCGCTTTACTGAAATATTAGGATTTACAGGGCAATTGTTCCATTTATTTTCTTTACAGCGCAATTGTTCATTTTTTTTTTAAGAAAGGAACATTTTAGTTCGGAAATTCCCGTAAACATTCCCTGAGTTTTTGGTGATTAGGTTTACAGTATTATCAAGAAATCGATACTGACTCGAGCCAATATTTAAAATTTTCAGCCATCGATCCCAAATTTTACATAAATACGCCCTCGAGACTTGATCCTTAGGCAATATAACTTACAGGGAACTGGGGTTAGGATTTCCGAGCCTCTGCTCAGTTTTCATCAATGGAGATGAAGGGGCTAGGTAGATTCACTCTTGGCAAGCAGTCATCTCTTGCTCCACAACCAGAGAGCCATGATGTGCTTGAAGAGATGCCTGAAAATTTCGACCCAACGGTGAGGCTTATGTATCTTGCAAATGAAGGTGACTTGAATGGGATCGAGGAGCTTCTTGATCATGGGGCTGATGTCAATTCGGTGGATTTTGATGGTCGAACTGCTCTGCACATCGCTGCATGTCAGGGTCGCTCAGATGTTGTTGAATTGCTTCTGAAGAGGGGTGCAAATGTCGACCCCAAGGATCGGTGGGGTAGCACGGTATGTGCAGTAAACCTAGGGCAATTCTAACTGTGTATGCATGAGAGAGAAAGAGATGTGCAGAGAGACCCAGATTGTTGTTTCTTTTTTAGACATATCCCACTTGTGCTTATGAATCTGATGTACAACAAGAACGAAAGATTAATTTAGCGTTGATTGTATTACTACCGAGAAGGTAGATAGCTAAAAGGGAGATATTTTTTTTCTAATTCTCACTTATTATTTACTATTCTTCTGGAAATTCCGCTTAGTGCTCTTGTGGATATGCAAGCATAAGATAGAGGTAATTTCCAAAAAATATGCTGTTTTTGGTTTTGATCCCAGTGACTGTCTACAGGCTGTGGTTTCTAGGAAGTGGCTCTTGGCTGACATAAAATATAGCCCTTGATTTTAGTGGGCTTCATGGTAGAGATGGCGCATAACTCATACAAAATGTTTGTTGTTTTTCGAGAGAGAATTTCTTCATTGTGAACTTCAGTTTTGATGGTTTTAGAGTCAAGAGAGGCCCTACGGACGTACACCAACTGTAATATGCGCTCTTGAAAATTTTGCCCTATATAGATTTCATAACAGACTTTTCCATGCTAATCATACTATGGGGTTTTCCACCAATAAGGAGGACCTGAAAGTTCTAGAAGCTTGAGCTTCTTTTTTAGTTTTCAATTATTCACAATTGCATGTTTCCTCATTAGCATTCTAATGCCTATTTGTTAGAGCTCAGCATATAATTAAGCAGTTACTATGCTTTCAATATCCATACTTTTCACTTATAAAGAACAAAATATCCATCCTTTTTGCCTACTGAAGAGGATATATTGTTTAGTGAAGAGTTTACAACTTGTAAGCAGACTATTATAATATTCTCTCTTTTAAGATAAACGAGGATCTAAGATGTTTGGTTTTGTTTTCTTTTGCATGGTGTCCTCATAGTGGGGGTGCAAGGGTCTGCATTATATCATTTCACTGATGGACATATGTGCTTTCCTATTATGTTGAGTTTTGATCGTATTTAGTTTACAGCAATCCATCTCATAAAAGGCTTAGAAATTTTTTTAAGTTGTCTTATGTTGCTCACAACAGCCACTTGCAGATGCAATATATTACAAACACCATGAAGTGTTCAAGCTTTTGGAGAAGTATGGTGCAAAACCCCCGGTATGTTTTCCATGTTACCTTTATGAAGTTCTTGTTGCATACTTGAAGTCAAGATTTGAGATGCAATATTCAATTGTGTTTTGTTTGTGGCAGCTGACTGCTTATGATTTGGAGGGCTTCTTACGATCTTAAGAACTGTGTAGTAACACCATTTGAATTTTATTCCTTTCAGATGGCTCCAATGCATGTCCAAAATGCTCGAGAAGTCCCAGAATATGAAATTGATCCCAAGGAGCTTGACTTTACTGACAGTGTTGAATTGACCAAGGTACTATTCACCTTGTTTCTGGTTAATATTTGTTAATATAACTTGGCCGTGTTAAAATCTTACCTAGCTGTCCTTTTGGAAGTTGCACTAAGGATATTCAGAACTTGTTGTCTTCTCAATTGAAGTTCTCCAGGACTTACAACTATAATGATTTGCGTAATGAAAGTGAAACTATTCAATCTAAAAATCCTCATCATTAGTCAATGGTTCCTAAGATTAATTGTCAGCAAACCTGAAAGAACATAATTCTCATTGCATTGCCTCCACAGCCATTTCTCCAGGAAAACCTTATTCTTCACATTCTTGTCCTGGAAAATATTATGGATTCCTTCAGAGCATGTTTGGATGAAATTTTTAATTTTTTCTAGATTAGAGTATGTTGTCTGAAATTAATATATTATGGGAAAAGTTCATATAGAGCTGAGGCTCTAAACAATCAAATTAGAGCCTACCTAAAAAATTTCACTAGAAGAGGTTGTTTTGATGCCCAAATATCCTCAAATTGATCATCTCGACATCAACATGCATGAACATGTGAAAAAAATGGATTTCAAGATTTGAAAATAATGTATTTTATAACGCATTTTAGGACCGTCAATTTTCAAAATTTTCAAGTTTTCATAGATTGCATCGATCTACA